AAAAATAAGAAGTATAGTGTCTGTTATGTACTGATTGTTTTTAGATTACTAAGAACAATATTATCATTTAAGTTCTTATTTTTTGAATATGCAACTATCATTTTCTGCTTATAGACATGGGGGAATTTCTCTTGAAGGCTCTTATAGTGGGCATGAACTATCTTGCTTGCTCGATAGCTGGCTGTATTGAACGGGACAACAAAGGGTGCTATGTCTACATTATGGTGAATATTTAGTCCTATAGGTCTTGCTGTATTCAATGTCTCAATCCAATGGGCCTCCCTAGATTGACGGAATTTGGTAGTTTCATCTTCGGGCAAGTCAATTTCTATACGCTCAATTGGGATTAGGGTGAGATCGTCTATTGAATGGTCGTCGAGGTTGAAATGATTAGAAACAGGCTTGTCTTTCTTTAATTTGATGCCTGACCTATGAGCATTAAAGCGAGTTCGTAAATTATTCTATTATTTCTCCTACATATTGTTTGGGGCATTTCTTGCATGAAATTAAATATATTACATTCGAATGTTCACATGTTAGATGTTCCTGGATCGGGTACCTTTTATTCGTAGAGTTGCTTATAAAATAATGAGTTTCTGATATAAAGGGACATGTTTTGCATCTACTGGACAAACATGGAGCACTTCTTGAACCTAGAGGTACTTCGGCATAAAGTCTGTTTTTAGCTGCTATCTGTGCTAGGGTGGAATTTTTTTATGTTTCGTAAAAATCGTTTAGAGTACCCACGCCCTTTCAGTTTTAAGAAAACAATCGTACAGGCTTGGTTGAAATCAGAAGATCTTGTACAAATTCGATGAAATCGTAAAACTTGTGACTTAATTATACCAGAAAAGGTATGTTTTGGGTGAAAGGAGCTCTTGTGCAAGAGTTGATGAGTATCAGTTTCTTTGAAATACACTTTAATATCCAGTTTATTTGTTTCTGCTATGGAATCTCCCTTAAAAACTGTGGTATCGAGAAAGTCTATGCTTTTGTCACTCACGTTTGCGGTTAGTTTGATAGAAGGATGGTGGTTGTTGAGAATTTCAAAGAATTCCCAAAACTGTTCGATAGAATAAGTCCAAACCATAAAAATGTCATCCAAAAAGCGTCCGTAAAAAAGTGGGTCAAATGGACAGAGGGGCAACACCTCACGTTCCCACTCTGCCATGAAAAGGTTTGCGTACGAAGGGGCGAATCGTTTGCCCATTGCTGTCCCTGAAGTTTGTAAATATGTTTTACCATTAAATGTGAAATCGTTTCGACTAAGACAAATCTCTAAAAGCTGTAGAATTGCATCGTCGGGTCTGTTCGGATCTGGGTTTCTATTAAAAGCTTTACGAACTGCCGTTAAAGCAGTTGTGTATCGATATTGGTATACATAGAAGAAACGTCGATAGAAATTAAAATAGCATTAGAGGGAACTCGAAGATTTTTTATTTTATTGACAAAATCGGTTGTGTCTTTAAGGTAGGCGCGATGTTGGCATGCTAGAGGTAGTAAGAAATGATCAATGTATTCTGACACTGCATATGACTCACTACCACAGTCAGATATAATCTGAGGACATGCGACCTTGTGGCAACGTGGCCGCAGCGACATTTAATGGCGTTGAACTGATGGTCTCGTAGTACGTTGTTGGTTCGGAGTCCGGTTGCCACTTTGCAGATGGCTACAGATGGATGGTTAGGTTTGTTTTGGTTTGGTATCTTCGGATCAATCTGGTATCTTGCGGTGTCGAGGTTCCGTAACATGTCGGCCCATTTCTGGTTGATCCTAGAAGACACGATACTGCAGAACTCCGAATAGGAGTATTCTAGAGGCTCGATATCCTCCAGACTCAGACTTTCCTTGGCACAAAATGGCCAGGAATGGCAAGGAATGGAGACGTGCGATGGAACCCATACTAATTCAATCTTCTGGTCGTTGTTGGTTTGGTAATGTGGATCATTCTTCTTTTTTCGGAAATAACTTCTGACCTGCAATTAGAAGAGGGGGGGGGGGATTTTTTACCAAGCATTGAGTCTATTTTACCCCAGACAAAGCTTAGGTTGGTCTTCTCATTTAATGAGTTGCAGAACTCCTGCCAGTGCTTTGTTTGTGTCTCACGACAGCCTGGAGTTCATCGGACCACCAGGACAGGTGACCTACGTGCAATGCCATCCTTAGTCCGGCGAATAGAGCCCATAGCAGCATCAGTAATAACCTGGGTCAACTTCCCAGAAAAACTAGAGACGTCCTCGTCCCTTGCCAGATCTAGCTTGGAACGAGTGAAATGACGCCTAAAGAAATCCCAGTTAGCCTTCCCTAGTCTCCATTTGCCTTGACACATGACTTCCTCCTTCACAACATTGCGTGACAGCGTGATTTCAATGACAACGCTAGATCATGACCGAGTCCAGTAGTTACATGTATATTTGCGCATGCGCACTTACATTTATCACATTTCAGTCTTCATGAGAAATTACTTTACAAATATCTGAAATCGTAATAAGGCCTGAAGTAATAAAATCATATTTATAGTAATATTGTTTGTCTAAAATAATATTTCTATTATTAAAAAGGGGTTGATTTAGGATATTACTAAGATTCTCTTCAGTAGAAAAACTATCGATGTTGGTTAAATGGTGCCATGATATTAAAATGTCTCTACAGAATATCGACAGTTTATTTAATTCCTTTTGTGTATATTGTACAAGGGGTCTAACATGTCTAAATTATCATATCTGCGAAAATTATACGAGAGGAAATTCTCCCAAATATAATTCGTTGAACTGTCTAGGTATAAGTAGTAAGAGAGCTTAGAGAATGTTCGCACGGGGTGCTAACATTCTCTACCCCCCCCCCCCCCCCTCTCAAGAAGTCAAAGAAAAACAGATCTACACCCCACATTCCATCAACTCCCCACCAAAAAAAACATTTCATCATTAAATTAACTCATTTTAAAAACACGAACAACACATTTGAATTTGTTTAATCTGTTTAAAATTAACTCCATAGTATAAGAATACAATCCACTTAAGGAAGTAAATAGTAATATATAGGTTATAACACAAAAAAAAACACTCGTAAAATCGTCGCAAACTATACACACAAATTCAAAAAAGACACATCCTTCTGTCCCAACTATCACAAAAAAACTTAAATCAGAATCCTATATAATCCCTTCTTCACTTTAGATTAGAATATTTAACGAAAAAAGCATATTAAAAATACCCTTATACAAAATAACTACCAGGCGACGGTATCTTTTCATCAATATTTTCTCTAGGTAAAAAAATAATTCCAAAAGTAGCTAGCTTTGTTTCAAACAACAAATCCCTCATTTCATCCAAGGCTAAAGCTATAGGATCTATCGCGGGAGCGGGAAAGAGTAGAAGCGACGCAGTGAAACAATCTGAAAGAAAGAGTTACAGCTAATAAGAGAACTGTCAAACAGGAGATTAGAAGAAAGGAAAGGAAAAGGTTTTAAAGTTATAGGATAAAAATGATAGTCGCTCACCCTCCAAAACCTATTTCGGTTCAGATATACAAAAATCATTAGGCTCTCTTCCTAGATTTCCATGGGCAAAATATCCTGGAGAAAAACATTTTCCGGCTCATAATTACACTGGTCCAGGTAATAGGCTTGATCTGCGATTAGACGAAAACGATAAACCCAAACCGGGTGAGGAACCAGTCAATAGAGTTGACGCCGCTGCGCTTCAACACGACATACTATACAGAAACAAAGACATACAGTTTAGACACGAAGCAGACAGACAAAATGATAATCGAACTTGAAAATATTCCAAATCTAACTTTCAAATAGAGAATGCAAAGGGCTCTAGGTATGGGATTAGCAGATGAAATTCATAAAGAATTTAGAAAAACTAAAAACTTTTTAAAAGTTATAGTGTTTGAAAAAGATGAAATATGGTCAGCAGATTTAATTAATATGCCAGTCGAAAGAGGATATCAATATTTCTTAACAGTTTTGTATACGAGATATGCTTGGGTTATTCCTTTGAAACAGATCAAACAGGCTTTTGAAACGATCATGAAACATAGAAAACCCCAAAAGTTATGGGTAGATAAAGGAAGCGAATTTTATTATAAAAATATGAAATCACTTGGCTTTGATATTTACAGTACTCATAACGAGGGAAAAGCTGTAGTAGTAGAAAGATTTAACAGGACGCTTAAATCAAAACTTTTCAAAACATTCACAGAACTAAAGTCTCAAAAATGGTTAAAGATTTTACCCACTGTAGTATCGGAATAATTATAATAATAAAATTCATTCTTCCATCGCTGTTTCTCCAATGCAAGCTAGTCAAAATCCAGATATTATAAAGTTTTCTTCTGTCCTTAATAATTTTGAAAATGAAATAAATAATTTAAATATTAATCCCAAATTTAAAGTTGGAGATCGCGTTGTATTTTCAAATATAAAAGCAAATTCGAAAAAGGTTACGTTGGATACTGGACAAACGAAATATTCATCGTTCATTCATGACCTCAACACCTCCTACATATGAATTAATCGATCAAGACAAAGAACAAATCATAGGTAGGTTTTATTAAAACTGACTTTTAAAAATGAATAGCTTTCTCGATAAATATGGAACTGATACAACCACAAACTTTCAACTTATGAGATGGGCGAATGAGTTAAATGTATCACCGTTTTATTATTGTATGAGAGATGAAATAAATGATCTGAAATATAAGAAAGGTAAATTTTATGCTATAACAAATGTACATACTTCCGATCAAAAAGGAGTTCATCATTCTGCTTTGTACAAAGACTCTTCAAATAACTTATATTTCTTCGATTCTTTTGGATTAGAACCCACTGAAGAGATAATGAAATTGACTAATCAACCAATTAAATGTTCTACATTTAAAATTCAATTACCAGGACAAAAGTTTTGTGGACAGCTTGCACTTTGGGTTTTATATCAGCTGAGTTTAGGAAAACAGTTTGAAGATATTATAATAAATTTAACTTTATAACAATGGCCAACAAGTTTGGATTAGGTTCTTTACCTTTAGAAACCAAAAAACCTAACACTACAGCGTGGATAAATAAAGCGAAACCTTACTTTGTGGATCAAATCGGAGACACTCTTCAAGGTGATTTAGATATGAACAATTTCAAAGTAAGTAATTTAAAATCTCCGGAAAATGATAATGACGCTGTTCACAAGAAATATTTACGGGATCAAATAATTTCAATTGAAGTAAATAAAAACCATTTAGAAGATAAAATAAGTAATGTGAAAAGATTCTTCAATCGTCAATTAAATAATAAAAATTTTATCAATGACACTAAACTACAGCAAGAAGTAGCAGGTTTAATAAGTTTTTTTCAAAAACAATTGGTCAACGTAGTGAACAAAACTGAGTTACAAAATTTAATTTCGTTAATATCTAATTTAGAGAATTGAGTGATAAAGATGCTTCCATTACTGATAATATTGATTATTCAAAAGAGTATGAATATAAAATTTCTCCTCCAGAATATATTTACCCCCATACCATGTTTCATGGTAATCATTCATTACTTTTTCCTTTCCGAGGAAAAATTGTAATTGAAATTATTTTTCCTATGCAGGTAAAAGTTGATTCAATATTCTTCAGACAAAACTCAGGAATTTCATCTAATCGTCAATTTAACGCTCGTAAAGTTCTTCAGTTTATCAATGGTACAGAAAATGTAGAAACTAAAGAATATGAAATTAACGAGGAAAACAGCAAGTTTAATCACTTATATATTAAAACGAGTGGAAAATATATAGATAGATTTAGAATGTTAATCATACCAGTTAAAGAAAATGATACTCTTTCATTGAGTGAATTTGATATGATATTGTTAACGGAAACTCCACCATCAGTAAGTATTATTAGAAATCCAAAACCACAAAATATAGGGGAAACAAGAAGTTACGAGTTTTTACGAGCGACAGACTTTAAATACGTAAAACTATATTTTGTTAATAATGATATATTTACCTCAATTGATATTCATAAAAGTCAACAAAAACAAAAAATTTTGATACCAGCAATAAGAGATGATGATGCATATGTTAATATATCACTCTCTATTGAAAACCCAAAGTTTTCACTTCATCTAAACTAGATTAATGATTCGGAAGAACAAATATCCCTAGTATCTGTAGAAGTTTTCCATCTTTTGCTTTATCAAAAGTTCACTTAATTTAATTACCTTAAAAATGGAAAGCAGTAGACAAAACTACATGATAGAAAAACAAAATGAACTAAAAGAAAAAACTAAAACACTTCAACAAATGCAGGAAAACATGGAGTAGAATTGATTCTGTTTTCAAAACATTAAGCACAGTTCTAACAGTAGGGATAACAGTATCAACAGCCGCAACTGGTGGATTAATGCTTCCACTAAATGTCCCAACTGTATTAGCCACCTTCACTGCCGTTCAAACATCATCTTGTGGATTGATTACTTTAGGTTTTACATCAAAACAAAAATCTCATTATAAAAAGAAAACAGAAATTTTAAATTCATATCTTAATAAATTATTATTTATATTTTTTTGAAAGATCGAGAGAAGATAAGAACATAACCATAATGAAGAATTAGAAGAATTCAATGAAATTTTAGATAAATTTGATGTAGAAATATCATCAATAAAAGTGAAAAATTCCTAATTAAAAAATAGATACTTAAAAATATGAATAGAATTGAAATTTTAGACGATGAAACATTCATATCAAATGTGCTATTTTCCAATGTTATTAAGGGTGTCTCTGAAAATTTTGTAACATTTACAGGAGAAATTGAATTAGATGGATAGATAAACGAGCATGGAAAACACAGACCAAAATGCCAAAACTTTTCAGAAAATCTTTTCTATTATGGATTTACAATCTGATGCTTCTGATTTGTATTTCACAGGAAATGTCATTTTACATAAAAACAATTTTAAAGAAATAAAAAGATCAAAAGTTGGTAGAGGAACTGAACTACTTAAAAAGATAAATGAATATAAAGGTAAAAATTGCTATATACCAACAAATGGTAACTGTTTTATCAAATGTGTAAATCATGTTTTGAACAAAGATTTAACAAATGAATTTCAAAAATTCATTAATGATTTTCCAAAACCTAATAGAAAAGGATTAATGACAACTGCTAGAATCAGTAATTCCAAGAAATTTAACACTTATTTTCACATTTATATGCCCCAAAATAGACATTTTCAACCAAAGAAAGTATCCGAGAAATTTACATAACTCACATTTCTGTCTCATAAGAAGAAATGTAAAAAGTTTAGGTATGAAAGAAATAGAAGATAATTATGAACAGGTATGGAAAACATGTAGAGATGATAATGCCGTAACACAAGTAGCACCTTTGAAACTAAACATATTTTCAAATTAGAGTTATGATACTTTATTCGCTTGGGATTGTGAAACATATTCAGAAAGTAAAACGCGTAAAGCTATTCCTTATTGCTGCACTTTAGTCAATATGGAAAATCTAAGAAAAAAGTTAGAGACGATAAACAATCTCTTTCCAGATTTAAAGCCGACAGATCCAATTCCAGAAGAATTTTACAATAAACTCATGACTAATATAGTAGAAATATTTGTGGGTAAAGATTGCATTGATCACATGTTAAAATATTTAGGTCAATATGATAGAAGAGATTAACGTTAATTGCTCATAACGCTTTCGCTTTTGATAACTGGATCGTAATTAAAAACGTAAAAAAACTATCGCAATGTCCACTAGTAATGGCTAGAGGCATTTTATCTTTACCTTTATCTAATCCATACACCGATGAAGATTTACAGAAAAAACCCCAAAAAAAAAATTGGCAACTCTAACTATCTGCAAAATATTAGTTTCAAAAGTTCCTATCAACATGAAAAATCTAGTTTGCAAGCATGGGGAAATTCATCTTATCTACCAATGAATTTGAGAAAGATCAGTGATATCAATATTGTAAAATACACCGAAGATAACTGGGAATCTTAAAGACACGAATGGGAACCTTACGCGAAACGAGACACCCTATGTCTTGGAGCTTGCTTGATAAAATACAACAAGGTTATGAAAGACACTGTATTCCAGAATGTTTCTAATAATTTAATCTTCTGTATCTTTAAAGGGTTGGTATTATTTGCATCATTACGATAAAGAAATGGTTGAAGAACCATATTACGAAAGGAAAATACTCGTTCCAGAACACACTTAAAAAGAAAATGTAGAAAAAGTTTACTCACACACCTTTATAAGACATTTCATCAGTCAATCCATTAAAGGAGGAAGAGTTTCTGAAATCATTTGAAACGAACAAAATAGATGAAATTTGCAATGTATTAAAGGAATACACAGAACTCGATAACTCAAATGATTTATTTAAAGAATATAGTAAAAGTGATAAAGATAAAACGGAAGTTAATTCAAAATTTAACGAAATAAAATGTACTAAACTAATTGCGTTCGACGCTAATGGTTTGTATGCATCCGCCATGTCGGATTTAAACAGCGAATATCTTAAAGCGGAAAGCGGAAGACCGTTTCTACCAGAAGAAAATGAAGAATTTGTCAAGCTTTTTAATGAGCAGAAATTCAGACCTAGAACGGCTATTTTAAAAGTCTGGTTTAAATATCCTACCAACATGTTCTTCCAACCCATACCAGCTAAAGATATAATTACTTTTACAAACAGAGAAGGTAAAAAGGAAACTGGCACTAAAATCAGATTCAGAAATGGTTTCTGTTATGATGTCTAAACATCGGTCGATATTCAAGAAATAGTTAAAGTAGGTGGTAAAATACTCAAGATATTAGATGGGATAGTATATGGAGAAAATTTTAAAACTCCATCATACAGAGAATACGTTTTAATTTTGAGAGAACTTAGAAATAAATATAAACGAGAAGGTAATATTGTGGGTAGTAATTGCATGAATTTATTAGTTAATTCATTGTATGGTAAATCTATTCAGAAGGATATATCTTACCCACACATCTATGGAGTGAAGCAAGTTTAAAAGACAACTTCGATTCACATATTAAAAGCTATCATAAAGTAAATGAGACTCAATATATCGTTGAGAGAGAAGAAGAAGAAAAAGAAATATCTGAAACTAAATCTACTACACGACTAACACCTAGTCATTTGGGATCATTTGTTTTATCTCACAGAAAGAAAGTAATGAATAATTTCATTCACGTAATAGATGGATTTTATAAACCTGAAATATACTATACGGATACCGATAGTTTATACATTTCATCTAGCAATTGGGAAAAATTAAATGAAGCTGGGTTGGTGTCCGAAAATGATTATACTAAAGGAAAGAATGATTACGGTGATGGTGGAATCATATTTGGTTTATATTTAGCGCCAAAAATCAAATATAATATCATTCTAACTTCCGACGGTATTTTAAAAGAAAAGAAAACGTTTAAGGGTTATTCTAAGGATAAGATAAGTGTAGAAGATTTTAATCAATTAGCTAGTGGGCATGATGTGATGAATGAATTTAAGAAAAAAATGGGAAAAAAGTTTCACAAATGGAATAGTTATTCCATAGGATGATGATAAACAAAAGAAAGTTTTTAGAGCTTACCTAAATTTCGTTAAGAGAAAGCAACCAAATAGTGAAGGAATTATGTATCCTTACAACGATGGAAAAGAATTGAACATGCATGATGATTTCGATTACATAACTATTCAAGAAGAGAATGATTAATTACAGAATGAAATTAAGTTCTTTTGTTTTAAATGAAGTTGAATTACAATTTCCTCGTTTCCAAAATCTTTAAATCTATTTTTACTTGTTTTGATCTATTTGTTTCGGGTCCTGACTTTCTAATTGCATCTAGAAATTTTGAGTATGCTACTAAATCCTTCTTATCGGCATTGCCAATATACCCGCCATTCATTAAATCTATTAATCCTTTCGTTAATGTAAATATTAAGTCTTTTGTATCGATTTTCCATTAAACAATAACCCCTCATCATCAATGATTGGTGTAATACTCTTTGGTAAAACTGGGTCAGGGTTTGAAAAAAGACGATTTATATCATATGATGTCCTAATTATAATACCACTATATTCAATCGGTTTTGGGTGATATATATAAGGTTCTATACGAGGGGTGTCTAATTTCTTTTTAATATCCTCTTGAGATTTTAATATTGGGTGAAATAAAGTTTGAAGATTTTCTGTTAATCCAAGTTGTTGTAATTTATTATTTTCAACTTGGGTCTTTATTTTATCTTTATTTTATTTTTGATATATTCTGTATTTCTTTTAAAAATATTATTCCAATCGCTACTCATTTTTAAAAAAAATTAACATATGTCGATCATAACCCGCAGGTTTTCTAGTATTTATAAATATATATCCATGATCATCTGGGTTTCTCCATTGAGCTTTTATGATTTATCGACTGAATGATTTGAAATAAATCTTTATCGTTTAATTCAAATAATAAAAAACAATTTGCATTTTTTCTAATGAACATAGAATCCATTTGGGATTGGTATATGCAGTGACAGTTGTGATGTCTTCCTTTCGTGAAGAATTATTGTTGAACAGCTTGATTTCTTTGTGTTACACAGTCGTCAAACAATATTAAGTTCTTTCGATTGCTATAAATTTTAGACAAATCTAGATCATTAACATTTTTCGTAAGAAAAACTCTTTTATCCGTTGGATAGAAAGAGGGATTCTTTGCTTTAATGTAGTTATCCATGATATCTTTTATTTCCACTTCTTCTTCGTTTTCTTCATAATATTGAAATATGTCTTGAACATCTTTCTTTGGTAAATATTCTAAAGCTTTGAGAAATTGATAATATGATTGCTCTGGTGTTGTTGTGTAGATATATAGTGAATCGAAATCTAAAGGTTTGGTGTTGTCAACATGTTAAAAGTGAGATGAGTTTTCCCAGAACCGGAACTTCCACAAATACACACAAGCATTGGGTTACTAGGAAATATTTCTGAATGTTTGAATTTCTTTCCTATTTTTATTCTATATTTTTGTTCCAAAAATCACTGCTTCTCCTTTATACTTTGAAAGAAATAATCCTTCTCCAGTGTGTATATTTTTAAAAATATTCCATTACCCTTATGTTTGACTTTGACTTCCCCTGTGTCAATACTATCTACTAATTTATTTAATCCTTGTTTAACAGTTTTCTTGGTTTCTTCCCCAAATCTTTTCGTCAAATTCTTTTATTGTGCCTATCATATCTCCTGAACCTTTATTTTTACTTTTTTCATCCTCTGCTGCCAACTTTTCCATTGCTAAATTGTGTCTATGTTCTTCGGCAGCTTTTACTGCAGCTGCTTTCTTTTCGTAGGCGGCTTTAGCATCAGCTGCTTTCTTATCGTTGGCAGCCCCTACTGCGGCGGCTGTACCACCAGCTACTGTACCCGCTGCAACAACCTCAAAGGTAGGGGAGGTAAACAAAATCCACCTTCTTTTGCTTTCGCATCAATTCTTTCTAAGTCTATATCGTCTCTGACTTTACAATATTTGTATTTATCAATAAGTTTTTTTAGTTATGTTGATTTTTTTACAATTGAAAGTTATTACAGTTAGTGAAGCTGTTTCAATAGCTTCTATTATTTTCTTGACTAAAGTTTCTGGCTTTATTTCTTATCTTATCATTCTTCTATCTGCTATTTTAATTAAATGTTTTGCTTCTTCGAGAAGTAAACAATACCCGGTTACATCTTCTTTTTTTTTCAATGTGAATATTTATGTTCACTCCTGTTTTGAAAATATCTTCTTGGTGAGCTGATAGAACAAAACAGAAGATTGGATGATTAAGTGCAAAATCTACATATTCAAACTGAGGTTTTTATAGTTTCTATACAATTCATTATAATCCTTCGTGGATTTAAAGGTTGGTTAGGATAATTATCGTTGTTTAATCTTACTTGAACTTTATGGATTATAGGATCTTGCGTTTGGTTCATTGCTACTCTAAAGATATTATTTATATTCGTCTGTAAGTCTGGTAAGTACTTGAAACCAACCATTAAATATCTTGCTGGTTTAATAGTATTGGTGATTGGCCAAGTCGTGGATTCTCCAGTTAAAATCATGCTACCTACCGTGTTACGACGAAGAAAAGCTATTTCAATATCTTTAGTTAATGATTTGAATATTCTCGTTTCTACTTCAATTGATGGTGTTATTACGGGTATATAAAGTTGGAGATTCGTTATTTCTAATTTTGCAACTGAAGCATTCTCTCCAAAGAATATCTTATCATCGTTGATTTCTCTTTGTAGATGAATTTTATATGGTAACCCTATGGAAACGTTTCTGTGTTCCAACAGACCGAATAAAGGATATAATTTCCAATTTACGTAATTACCTCACCTGTTATTCTCAGGTTATACTGATTTACTGGTTTTTCAAATCCTTGATTAGCTGCTCGTGCTACTCTTTCTATTGTGTTTCGAGCAACAACTCTCACTCTTGCTAAATCTGCATCATTTTGCAACATTTCTTACCGGTTCATTTAAAACACTTCCATCATCAAAATCGGGTATCCAGTCTGAGACTGAATCGTAATTTTTGGGGATATAGAACTGTTTTCAACATTGTGTCAAATTCCCCAGGGTGTTTAATGGTTTCTATAGTATTTGAACCAGCTTCCAAAACCATCTCGCTAAATAAAGATGGAAAGAAATTCTAACGTTGTATTAGTTTGTTTACACGATTTTAATTGGGAGTTAAATCTTTGATTTTGAAATCACATCTGAAATAAGCATCGGAAAGAAGTAACCAATTTGATAATGAATTTATTTCGAAGGTAATTCTACCACCATCATTCAACTGGGATTTAGAACCAACAGTCGGTGAGATGATAATATAATCCTCTTTTTTTTTGTTAAATGAGTAACGAATTGGATCGTATAATTTAAAGATTGGATCTAGTATGTAATTTTAATTTGCCATTTTTAAGGTTTAAAATTTGAGGGGGTTAGAGAATGTTTGCACTTTCCCCATGGAATGAACTACTGGTATATGCTAACCAATATAATCGGAATTCTTCTTTTATGAATCTAATAGCCGGAATGTTTAACCCACCCTTATTAAAGGGCCCCTGTATTGTATTAAATTTTATCAATGGTTTTTTACCAAACCATAGAAAATCTGAAATTAATTTGTTTATTTTTAATTCTGCCCATTGTGGTAGTTCGATTACTCTGAGATGGTACCATAACATTGACAGACACAATGCATTTATGACGACAGATTTACTTTTAAGCCTAAGCTGTCTCTGTCTCCACATATTAATTTTTAATCGACAATTTTGAGGGGTAGACCTTGAAGAGTATCGTCGTATGTTGCACTTCCGATTTACTGGTATTGATTTTTGCACCAGAACCATTACAATATATATCAATGGTTTTGAGGGCTGCCAAGATAGCGTTCGTTGAGCTTAGAGTAGAATGGTATCATCGGCATGTTGGAATACAACGAATGTTAAATTACTAAAGGGTACTGGTATACCAACAATTTTGTGATTTAGCTTCAGTAATTGGTTTAATGGTTCGGCTGTTAAAAGGTAAAGTAAGCCAGAAATGGGACAGCCTTGCCTAACACCCTTACAAATTGGGATGGAGCGAGAGATATGGCCGTTGACCAACCTACGAATATTTTTGTACTAAAGTTCAACATATTTTGAGAAATAGTTCCCGAATCCGAATTGCTTTAGAATCGCAAAGAGATATTTAGTGTGAACTCTATCATATCATATGGATTTTGGGATGTTCATGGCCCTTTGTTCCTTAAAGTGGTACAAGAAATACAAAAACAAAACGAAATGTCCAGAAATAGTTTTATCCTTTTCCTATAAAAATAAAAACGAAAAATCCGATCTGAAAAACTCGAGACCAATTAGCCTCTTAAACGTGGATTATAAAATATTATCACGGACATTAGCCCTACGTTTAAGATCTATCATCGGTAACCTGGTCTCACCAGAACAAAGTGCAAATATTCCGAACCGTGATATTGCCCACAGCATCCTCAGCGTACAATCTACGGTAGACTATTGTGGTCAGGAACAAAAACCATATGATATGATAGAGTACATCGTTGTAATCAACACAGAGTAGTACATTTTCTTTGTCCTTAATTATATTTGTTATTTTGTTTAAAAACATTTCCTCGCTTTGGGATTATTGGGGGCATATATCGATAGCAAATGGAATTCCAGTTGATCGATTTTAACCAATATTTCAACAAATCGACCTTCATAATCATCTAGGGAGGAGACGCTTACATTATTCTTAAAATTATTTGATATGAGAATAGTACAACCTTTATACCCGTCATGGCTACAAGAATATATTACTTTACCATCCCATATGTGTTCGTTTTGGGAAATAAACTGTTCATTCCAATAACTTTCTTGTAGACATATGAGGTCGAAATGTTCTCCATTAAATTTAGAAATTAAGTTTCGAAATTTTTTGATTGACTTAAGGCCTTGACAGTTAAGTGTTAAAATTCGAAGCATGAATATAAAAATTAGAGTGGGAAAAGGGGCCATGATTATACTTAACTACGGGTAGGTGAGGATTGATTGTCTTCAATTAAAATAGCTTCTTGAAAAACTCTGTCGTTATCTTCAGTACTAGAGTCATTAGGAATAGAATTGGTTGTTGTTTCTGCGTTCTTGGTTAAAAAGTTGGTGACTTTATTTAGTCGGGCCATTTTAAGAGCACCACCTTGTTGTAGGGTAGAGAGGGTTTCTTTATCTGGGCTAACAGTCGACGACATGGATCTCTAATACGCCTGGTTATTTTCGGTAATAGTACAGAAATTAAAAAAGCTATCAATATCTTTTCTAATTATGTTTTCATTAGAGTCGGGTTTTTTTGGATGGGGTTGATGTCTGTTTTATGTCAGTGGAATTATTATCTTCTTTAGCGTCTGTAGACAAGTTGGAAAGAGCATCCAAACTACCGTTATTTTCTCATATCATCTTTGCACTTGTGTTCTCGTTGTTATCACGGTTTGTTAACTATTCACATTCTGTCAAGGTCACAGTTGTTGTTATATCCGATGTTTTGTCAACACATATTGTTACTTGTTTACTAGTTTCATCAATACATGTATCAATACATGTACATTCATATCGGTAGCAGACGTCACATTTTTTGGCATTGCAGTTACGTTTACGATGACCTTGCGTACCGCATTGAAAGCATTTAAATTCAGGACACTTTGCCATTATGTGGTCAGTTTGGAGGCAAATGAAGCAAGCTTTTTCTTGTTTGTCATGGCGCACAGGGTAGGATGTGCCATTAAGTTGTGTGACATACGGTAATCTTGAAATGCCTGGTGGGAATTCAACTTTCAAAAATCTGGTGCCGTCGTATATTCGTTTATTGTTAATTTTCACAGTTTTGCGATTAATTTTACCTACCGCCTTTACGCCCCACTTTTGAAGTTTGTTTAGGAGTTCATCATCACTTACGTACGCATGGAAAACCATTACCATTGGACTCGATACCATTTTCTACCAAATATTTAGCACTTTCATTATCAATCATGGTTATTTCAAAACTATCTCCTGTTGGAAAACACGCCACTACACTATCTTCGCCTATTTCATCTTCGATCATATTAAATATTTCGTTCAGTTGATATTTCTTCTCACCTGTGAACATCTTTACTGTATTATCTTTCGACAAATAATAGTCCCACGTTTTCGGTCAACTTTGTTGTTGTGTGGAGGCAGCCATATTGGTCAAGCGACCACGGCCAAAGTTGCCGGGTTTGAAAATCACCAAACCTCTCACGAAATTAGTACTTTATCTAGCAAAAAGTCATAAATCACATACTATTAATATTCTTCTGTTAGGTAGATACAATTTTAACATAGGATGGCCTAAAATAGGCTAAAAAACAGGTCGATTTTAATGGAGCTAAATGACAACGTCAACACTCTCCAAAACCTCAACCGGATGCTAGTTCACTATTCCATTAAGATTCCCGTTGTTATGACTTAGATTTAGATTATCTGGAATACAAAACTTTTCAAACTTGGAATAACATGATAGTAGACAGACTGAATTTGCGGAGTTTTATTTTTCAAATTATTGAATAAATTTTATCAACTTTTTCTATCTAACACATAAAATGTTCAGAAATGGAATTTTTAGGTTTTATTTATAAAATTACTTATTATCAGGACAAGAGTTAATATGTAGTTTGTGGTCTATATAGTGCATGATAGCTTTAAGTTATAATCTTGTTGATTAACCCTGACCTGCAGTGAGTTGTGTTTCAATACCGAGCTTTTTCGATAGTGAGTAAAGTATTCTTAACCCTCTCATTAAAACCTGAACAAATCAGTTTATATTTGAAATTCAACCAATAAGCAGTATTTTTTCCCACCCACCGTTTCCCATTATTGATATGTTTGTTATCATCTTATTTAGTAAAATCATGTATTTTACACTTAAGACTGTATCATCTAACAATATGATGATTAATTGGTGTTTCTAATGAATTATCATGTATTCATTTCATTATGTTCTTATTGCATATAATTAAGAGTCCATGTATATACAGCCTCTATAAACAAAAAGATACTTTCTATTAGCATTTTCATTTTCATAAATGAAAATAAAGGAACCCATCTTTAAGTTCAAATTATTGAATTTGGACAGTTCTTTGTTTGTTTCGATACCGATGTCTATGTGAACTTTCCATACAATCGGCGAGTGATGGGGCATTGAATCTGGATAAAATGCACACAAGTCGATCAACTTAAGTGGCGCACTACTAATAGGGTAAAATACATAAAACTTGATAAAAGCTCGGAGACAATGCTTTACATGGATATAAATCGTTGAAAGAAAAACAATTGCTCAGTTTCCTATAAATAATGTTTTGCTTGGCGTTGTTTATTTGTCTATTGCTAAAGCTTATGCAGATTCCCATATATTAATTAACGTTGGCAAGTAACCTATTTGGGTCTCTGTCACTCTCCAATTGTCCTTAGTATAAACATAATCATGGATTCCCTATATGCTGCTTAAGAACAAAATAATGAGAAGAACTATGATCAGCTGCATGTAGCTATGATAAACATCATTCAAGAATTTCTTGTACTTGTAAAAAGTGCTTAGAAGAAATCCAGAGCGATAACACAGTCGAAACAGAGGAATGAGTCCAGCTCTCAAGGCTTCCAAGTGTATGGTACCAAACCTGACACAAACACGTCCAAGCAAAGTCCAAATTTACATCAAAAATATAATTCCGACAGCCATGCCGTTTCTTTTCCAAAAAACGTACCCACAAAATTAGCGTCGTAATCAGGTCAATTACATACGAAAACGTAATCAAAACTAGCCTAACACCAGGCCTAAACTGGCAGCTACAAACTATGCAGCATTCTCTAAAAGGTCTGTAATAATTCTGTAAGCTGTCTATGTTTATACGCTCCTTGAACGCCTAATAATGTCCCCACGGCCCCGTCACACCGGAAAGGCGTTCTAACTGCGGTGCCATTGCGCCGAAAAATTGGCTTAAAAGTTTTTAGGGTCGCCATAAGCATGGTAAAAACGTACAGGACTCACCAGACATCGTGCAATTGTTGTCATTTGACTATTGAGTCACGGCGTTTATTTTGGACATATTCAAAACAACCGTCAAGACTCGGCGATCTCTTCTGTAATCACGTTGGGAACGCAATCTTTCGTTCAATAATACCTGAGGGTATTAGTAGTAATTGATCGAATCCTTAGTGGCTATTGAATCTGTCGTTAATTTGTGTGAATTTGGTGCGTGAAAACATCAAAATAGCAATAGCCATCGTAATGCTCCAACAACAATGTAATGAAAGCCGGGTCGTTCGGGAGGGTGACAAGTGGTGTCAATAAATAAACATTACAAGTGTAACATTTTCATACTTCAAGAGGTTTATTCACAACCGTTTTCTTTTTATTATCCTTTTTTGATTTTCGATAGGGATCATCCTCGTATTTCTCTAATTTTCGTCTAAATCAGTCAAGAATTTTGCCTTCTGGAGTTTTTCTCAACTTAATATTTGATCGTGTTTTTAAGAACAAGATAATCCATATTAAATATTTCGATTTTTTGGCTTTTCAAAAGGGTACATGTGATAATAAACAATTTCATCAAGTTTCTTTAAAATCTGTCTAGAATGGTGCCTTCAAGAGTGTTTACAAGCTAAATATTAAATGCGTTTTCAAAAACAAGGCCAATAATTTTTAAATTTTTGGGAATTTCAACAGAGTTCATAATAATGGACAATTCACCAAGTCTCGTCCTAATATGTCATGAAATGTGCCTTCTAGACTCTTAACGAACAAAAAATTGAACGCGTTTTCAAAAACAAGGGCAATATTTTATTAATGTGATGGCGTATAAAAAGCTTAATGAAGTCAGATTCGGCATGACTGCTGAAATGTGCAGGTACGTTCATCGGAAAACGGAACTAGCTTATGGAATCCAACTCCACAAAATATGCCAGATCCTCGATATTACAAATAAGAGACAACAAGTACGTTTACACTATACTATCCATGGACTAATCGGCAAAGTACCTGATAGTTTACATACATCAAAAACTTAATTGATACACATATATTAACCATGTAGTGAAGAAAGCCAATAACAACAGAGCTTTACTTCGGAGGAACATTCTACCAGTTTCCACGAAAAACGAAAGAGAGATGCTATAAGTCATAAGAGACCACAAATGGAGTACCAAAGTATCGTATGAGATCCATTCACAGGTAATGGTCCAGCGAAAAGCGTTTTAATCTCAAAACTTCTATTAGAAAAAATCCAAATTTTTAGAAATGCAGTAATTTGATTGGATAATAAAACAAAATTTAAAATTCTTAGTGATTGACCAATCAGACGATTGCATTTCTTAAGTTAAGTTTTTTAGAATAAGGCTCCAGGTTCTTCAATGTCGATTACCATCGAACTAGTAACGTAACCACAATGTTACACCAATTAGAATGGCCTTCTCAACAAGAACGACGTGCAGCAAATAAGGTCAAACTTCCTTATGCCAACATCAGTGAGGGGACACAACCACCGTTTCATTGTTACATATGTTAGAACCACAATATCAGAAAACAAAAAACCTAATTACAAAATTGTAATCTAATTTTAATTAGATTGACGGTAGACTAATCCCTGGGCTGGAGCCCAAGTCAACAAGTCTTTTGTGCCCAACGGCAACTATTAATTGAGCCATAAGTCTACGCCCATACAAAGCTAATAATGGCTGCGCAATGACCTCCATGCCACTTAAAAGGGATATTGTATTTTCACCAAAAAATAAACTCGCAAAAAGTCAAGGGAATTTACAGTTCTTTGCATCATTTACACAATTATTTATTCTTTTGCTATTTATTCAATTATGCTTACATCAGCTGTACATGTTCTTATTTTTATCAGATTAATTATGGCTTTCAAAGTGGCCATTGTCGGTGTTGGGTGTCGTTTCCCAGGAGCAGATGACATAGACCAATTTTGGAAAGTTCTCAAAAATGGTGAAAATCATGTAATTGAAGTACCAAAAAATCGCTGGAATCTTGATGCATTTTACCACGAAGATGCCGGAAAACTAGGAAAAACCAATGCTCGAAAAGCAGGTTTTGTTCAAGGGTGAGTTTTTAAAGTTTTCAAAAAAGCCTATTTGAAGACAATTTTTTTTTTATTTCTTTTTACAAATTGACCAGTTGAAGCGGAAGAAGAAATTTTCTCAGCTACGAATGCGGGGTAGTCGGGTAGAATTGACTAATATGAACACTATTGATATATTGATATACTGATACGTGATCTAGCATGCCCTGTATACCTGTAAGTTGTTATGTGAGGGGTCAGCTCAAGTGTCTATATAATTAAGTCGCTGTTTTTTTAGATTTTAGAAATGGGATTATAAATTTTATGGTATCAACGAATTTGAAAGTTTACGCATGGATCCTCAACATAAATTTATATTAGATTCGACATACATGGCTTTAGAGAATGCGGGAATAACACGAAAAGAAATCAAGGGATCCAATACTGGCGTTTATATTGGTAGGTATATAAGGGGTACAAAATGTACCTTAGTAGATTTTGTTGTGTCTTTTTCGGCGAGACTCTATACTTCCCGCTTTTAACAATAACTTGGCAGGAGAACGTATAGTAATATTTCCACCTTAATATAGTCCCTTATTTGAGATTTTTTAGGGCTTAATTCGGACACTTACTAATGCATCTAACTAACGTGTTCCAAATTGATCGAATGGAAGCGATAAATTTGACACACAAACTTTACTGGAAGGCATTCCGATAAAACTTAGTTATATTTTGCGTGATGTGTTATAATTACCGCACCATTCATTCCTAAATATCCTTGAAAATATATTGGACTGTGTTACATTATTTAATAGTGATTCAGACTAATGTTATGGCCTGAATCAACATAAACTCTGAGTGATTCCCCTTATCTACGAACGCCATTTTATCCCGTGCTTGTGCACGCCCTTGGCAGTCCACCTTTTGTATCCATATCTATTGTATCTAAGTTGCTGTTCTGATTAAACCTTAACTTCCTTATGACTTGTTAATCATAAAATCATAACATGGTGTAAGAAGTGCTAAAACTTTAGAAGCAACGTGAGTTATAATTGGAGACCTGTTCGTAATATTTTCCATCGAAATTGACGAAAGATGCCAAAATTCAACCCACCGGAACAGTTCATCTTTAACATACCAACAGATTGGCCACAATGGAAAAGAAGATTTTGAGGTCGATTTTTATACGTCCACATGAAATGGGGGGCGAATATTGTCGTCACCCATATCCGTCGGTCCGTCCGTCCACAATTGCTCGTAAACACTCTACAAGACACAATTCTTGGCGGATTTTGACAAAACTTGGTATGAGTGTTCGTAATCACCCAACGATGAACCTATTGAAAATCAGAAGAATCGAAAAATATTAAGTATAAGTTATTGCCCTTGTTCTTGAAAACGCGTTCAATTTTAAACACTCTAGAAGGGACAATTCTTGACGGATTTTAACGAAACTTGGTATGAGTGTTTGTAATCACCCAAGGATAAACCCTATTTAAAATCAGAAGAATCGAAAGATATTTAGTATGAGTTATTGCCCTTGTTCTTGAAAACGCGTTCAATTTTGAGCTCGTAAAGACTCTAGAAGGGACAATTCTTGATGGATTTTGATGAAACTTGGCATGAGTGTTTTTTATCAACCAATAATAAATCCTATTGAAAATCAGAAGAATCGAAATATATTTAGTATGAGTTATTGCCCTTGTTCTTGAAAACGCGTTCAATTTTTAGCTCGTAAACACTCTAGAAGGCACAATTCTTGACGGATTTTGACGAAACTTGGCGTGAGTGTTCGTTATTACCCAAGGATGAACCCTATTGAAAATCAGAAGAATCGAGAAATATTTAGTATGAGTTATTGCCCTTGTTTTTGAAAACGCGTTAAATTTTTAGCTCGTAATCATTCTAGAAGGCACAATTCTTGAGGGATTTTGATGAAATTTGGTGTGAATGTTCGTACTCACCCAAGGTTGAACCCTATTGAAAATCAGAAGAATTGAAAAATATTTTGTATGAGTTATTGCCCTTGTTCTTGAAAACGCTTTCAAATTTAGCTCTTAAACACTAAAAGGCATGATTCTTGCTGGATTTTGACAAAACTTGGTTTTATTGTTCAGTCCCGTGCTGAAGATTGAATATTTGCCTTCTAGAGTTTTCACGAGCTAAAGAATTGAACACGTTTTGAAGAACAAGGGAAATAACTCATACTCAATATTATTCAGAATCGCTCTAAAGAGTTCAAAAGAAATGTATGATTGAAGGTTGAATATTTCATACTGGTGATTGTTACTGTACTGCTAAATATTTTTATTCAAAATCAAAGCTGCTAGTGGGCGTATATTACCTTGCCTGACAAGCTATCTTCTTTAAAACTATAACACTGTGAATTGTTTGGATAGATATCGGAAGAATCTTTCCTAATATATAGTTATGAATGTTTATTTTTAAGTCTAAGGTTCATCCTTGGATAACAAACACTCACACCAAGTTTCGTCAATAATTGTGCCTCTTTGTTTACGAGCAATTGTGAACGGATCGACGGGCATGGGTGACGCCAATATACGACCCCATTTCACGTGGGTGTAAAGAAAGGGCGTCTAGAGGACATAGGTATTTTTACAACTTACAGTTTAAAACAAATTTGAGAACAATCGGATTAAAAATGTAGTCTACATTAAATATTTAAGTTTTTTGCCATTTTTCAAGATGGCGGCTACATTGTTAGGAATTGCACACACAGCAAAGGTACAAAATGAAGATATTGATGGTAAAAATTTTGTCGCATTTCAACATTTTCAATTTTTTGCACAACACACCGAGGGTTCAATCGACTAGGTATTTATTAATTACATAAAACAAAACCCCTTAAACTTTTCACGAAGAGATCAGAGCTATCAAAGAAAATCTGAGGTAAAGAAAAAGTTACCACACCTGATAACTTTTCATTTTGAATTACTTACTCACTTATGATTGATATACTTCCTCATTTGAAAGTTTATTACCAGTATTTCGTCAATATGTTGTTACGGATATAGTTATGTTTTACGCCAAAAACCAAATTACTCACAGTAACTATGGAAATTTTATAAGGCGCAATTTTTATGAAAGTGTTGCATATATTTTGAAAGAATAGACATAAGATAACTTTTGACGTATGTAAATTGGGTCACGTGACAGAGCTCTTCAATGTTAAAAATCGCGATTTTCAAATGGCTCAAGAACCAGAAGTTAACAAAATTAAAGATATCTTTGAATAAATCTCGTCAGGGGCAACAACTTTCGTGCTTTTCAAAAGGTTACCAAAGATTACGAGTAATGACCCTTTAAAGATTTGGCCAATATTGAAAAATATCAACCAGAAATAACTTAAAAGCAATTGAAATTCAAAAATCGACTCGAATACGATTGTTGCCAATCGATTGCTGATGCTATAGACATTATAATAACGCAAAACCGATTAATCCCTGATCCAAAAAAATGGTTTAAAGAAAAGTTGGCCATTTCAAGATGGTGGCTGATCCGATACTTCCAGGACGAATTTTATTATTTCAAATCTTTTAATTGAACAATTCAAACTGCAAAAATAATTTTTCAGATATCTTTGAAATTCTGAAAGTTGAAATTTCGAGTTTACAAGCGAATGGCGACAAACCGGAAGTGATATCGACCATTTATTGACAATAAAAATGTCGAAAAAAGTGGTCAAAGAAGTGCTTTAAAAGTGAGCGACAAAAGTAAATGTTTGTATATTCTGAAAGTGTTATCGTGTTTTCTTACCCATAGAAAATGAACAAAAAAATGAAAAAACTGAAAAGCGTCATATTCTGGTTGAAAAAAAAATACATCACCAGTCCCCGGTGCCTAGTATTATTGAACACGTAATTTAAATCCTCGGCTATCTAGTAAATAAATGGTGTGTGTAATTACACTCATGCAAAGTTTACAGAAAAATAAATAGAGAGGGTTACTTAAACAATTAGTGAGTTGTTTTGATCACATTTGATTTCACCTAGTTGGGCTATTTACACATTATCTAGTAGAATATAAGAGTGTTGTTAGTAGTACTCACTAACTGTCCTTTATTTTGGTAAAAACTGTTCACAAACTGTCCTTTATTTTATAAAGTGTCCATTATTTTGAAGAAGTGTCCATTATTTTGGGGCTTTTTGGACACTTTTTTTTTTAGACAATTTTCACTTTTCACTGTGTACTCGAGGTAATTAAAGGAGAAACACCAGATACATTTTTCAATTAAAATTTGACGTAAGCTTGATGTCAGATCATAATGTTTATGGAAAATTATAATAGCTTAAGTCAAGGATATCCTACACGGAAAAGTTTAGATATACGATCACACGATAAATGCTATTCCATTTTCATTTTTTTTTACTTACGTAATCATAACGAAAACAATCAATCACGATTTGCAACCCAACTAAAAAACGATTACTAACACCGAGTTTTTGTACTCCTTGTACCCTTATCACTTTATCACGGTTTAACACATCACAATTTCATGGCCCAAGACCTCGACAAGGAACAAAGAACAAGATATTGTTACAATCGTTCAAGATGTCAGAACCTTACACTGAATTCTGAAAAAAAAACTCGCATCAATCTATCAAATCGCTCAGGATGACACAGGTTGTTTCCAATATTGTCCCAATAGGTTAGTCCTCGGAGTTAAATACAACACCTGTGGAACATGTCATGTTACATGAAGTGACGCTACAACATATTACAGTCCCGCACGTCTAGCATGCACGTGCAGGCTGCTAAATAATTATGACATACTAAATATTCATGACACTTAATTTTCATGGTATTACATCACATACTCATAACACTTGGTCTAATAACTTTAAATTGAGTCTGTGACGTCACTTGATCCCAACTTGCTACACTGTTGTTGTTCTATTATTCATTTGTATATTTTAGGAGTAATGAATGGCGATTATTCTTCTAATTTCGCTACAAGTGTGCTGGACTTTGACAACTACACGATAACTGGAACCAATGACAGTATCATATCTTCAAGAGTTAATTACGTATTTGATCTACATGGTCCATCAATGACTATTGATACAGCTTGTTCTTCATCTCTTATAGCAATACATATTGCCCACCAAGCCATTTTATTGGGTAAGAGGACACCTTTAGGATAATCCTGAAATAAAGTCTTTTGTTTCTAGCCACCCGATATATATATTGTTAAACATTTATCTCATACAATTTCTTTTATTGTAAAACACGGGTTGCACACTATCTCTATGTATATTGTCTTGTCCACACAACTACTGAAGATAAATTTTTTCAACTCAGACATACATCCTTTTTGAACAAAAACAACAGCATTAATCACTACAGATTACAAAGTTAAGCTTGGTATTGTTTTCACCAAAAAGGAAATTTTTCTTATTTCGGACTCACTGCAGTTTATGATCCACATTATGTCAGTTGACAAGTCTTGTTTAATTATTCTACTATATTGATATTTTGGCTACTTACAATGTGCAGGTGTTTTTTTTTGTCAGGTGAATGTGACATGTGTATTGCTGGTGGAGTTAACTGTCTACTTAAACCAGACATATTAATCCAGCTCAGTAAAGCTGGTATGGTATCACCAAAAGGACAATGTCAAGCTTTCTCTGAGAATGCTGATGGTTATGCTCGAGGTGAAGGGTGTGGAATTGTCATTTTAAAATCACATGAAAAGGTCAGTTAAGTATAATTCTAGATGCATATGTGTAATATGTATTTTTCAATAGTATCAATAGTGTTTTATGCTAGAAATCTTTGTCCTTGAAAGACATGTTTCAACTGTGTCTGTTATCACTCTAGAAGACACACCTTTTGAAGGAACTTTATAGAATATTTTATTATCACACTAAAATACTCAATCAGTCTACATTTGTTAAGGATTTTCTGGAAACCTGGTGAAAGTGATATTGAGCATATATCATATATATTGTAATGTAAATTTCAAATAAAACTATAAAATTTCAAAATCCTCAATTTAAGGCTATAGAAGATAACAATCCGATCTGGGCGACAATATCCACAGCTTCTAATCTTCTAAGCTTCTGATGGTCATACAGTCTCGCCAATAACTACACCATCTATGCAACAACAAATAGAATTATTAAATATTGTATTTAAAAGATTTGACGTTGATCCTCAGAGTGTTGATTATATTAAGCTCATGGTATGTAAATTCCAATTTGTTGAAATGTATACATACATAGTTTCTCTTAGTTTTCTTCTTAATAGTTTATCTAATATAAATTAACTTTCAATTTAACTTCAATAATATCATTAATAAGTTCTGTACCTTGTCTATTAACCGCCATTGTCGCTATATTTTAAATGCCTCCATTTATTTCAGGAACGGGAACTAAAGCATGGGATCCTGTTGAAGTAAAAGCTCTCGGGACATTTTTCCAGACTGACGAAAATTTAACACCAAAAATAATAGGATCGGTAAAAACAAACATTGGTCATCTCGAATCGGCAGCTGGTGTAGCAGGTCTGATTAAAGTTTTATTAATGCACAAATATCAACAGATCGTTCCTTCTCTTTTGAAAGACCTAGTCAAGACGTTTCACTTGACGAGTTTAAATTTAAAGTGCCAATTAAGCCAAGCCCATGGCCAGATACCAACAGAGATGTTTTGCGATCATCAGTAAATAGTTTTAGCTTTGGCGGAAGTAATTGTCATGCGATTGTTACGACACCAAAATCGAAAAATTTACCGACTCCAACAGATCAGATGAACTGTATGTATCTCTGCAGTTGATATAGAATCTTTACTTAATATAAAAAGGACTTTGTGTGAAAACGCTGAAGACCTGCAACTTGCCGATTTTTCTTATACATCAATATATACAAGAGATCATGATCCATGCCGTCTGGCTGTAGCTGGTCCAAATACCGCCGAAGTTCTTCAAATTCTAGAAGGTACTGATGTCGACAAACATGTGATGGTGAAATACCAGCCAGCTAAAGGAAAGAAGTATATCTTTGTTTTTGCTGGTTTAGGAACAAATTGGCAAGGAATGTGTCAGGAAATGCTAAAAAGATTTAAAGTATTTCGTTCTACCATTGAAGACATTTCCAAATATCTTGAACGATATGCTAACTGGAACTTAATGGAAAATCTTCAAAATGGATTTGATTTAGAGGACGCTAACATCGCTCCAATTATGACATTTGCATGTGAGGAAGCGTTGTTTGTTTTAGTGGAAAGTTTTGGAATTAATCCCGATGCTATCATTGGACAATCTATTGGTGAAGTAGCTGCAGCCTTTGCTTCTGGTGCTGTTACTCTGGAACAAGCTGTGTATATTATTTATCACAGAACAAGAGTACAGGTTCGAGGTACTGGTGGTAAAATGTTTGTTGCTAAAAATATTGAAATAGATAAAGTAGAAGAGATTTTAGAGAAATATGAATCACAAGCTAATGTATAAGTCTACAGTAGTCCGATGAGCTGTACTATAAGTTGTGATGAAGATGTAGTGGACAAAATAAAAGAAGATATCAAAGAGGTTAATACAGGTTGTATGTTTATAGATCTGAATGTTACTAGTGCTTTTCATTCTCATCATATGTCTGACAGTGAAGACGAGATGAAGAGTTGTGCCAAAATAATTGGAGAAGAACCAAAGATAGATGTATTTTCTACTGTCAGTGGTGTCAAGGCAGAAGAAGGAGATTTTATTACACCACAATATTGGGCGGATAACATCAGAAAACCAGTTAAACTCTACCAAACTGTTCTTGAGCCCATGATTCTACTAAATATAATGTTTTTGTAGAAATTGGACCAAGACCTGTATTAAGAGCTCATCTACCAAACTTCTTTACTGATCAAGTACTGTTTGATTCCATACCTATTATGAAGAAAAATGACGAAGTGGATTGTGTTTCAGAAGCTGTTTGTAATTTCTATGGATTGGATTTGAAATGGACACATTTTGACGATTTTAAAGCCAATGTCTCTGAGTATCCAAAATATCAATTTAATAGAGTAGACAATTTGTTATTACCCACATCTGGCAAAGAAAAACTTTTGGGTGTTGATCAAGCGTCCAAATACCATCCGTTTGTGAAGCAGCTTGTTTCGGACACGAAGGACATTAAGATTTTGATTGATCCGAGTAAGCTTTCGTCTATCTATGAACATAAAGTAAACGGATTGGTTGTGATTCCGGGCGCACTGTATGCTGAAGTGGGTCTTGCTCTAGCAGCCTTAAAGTCACCAAGTATTTCATTTCGAGAAGTAACTCATTTACAATCTCGAATCAAAGCAGCTAGATACTACAATAGAAGAACATGGTGACCGGACCGACTTTACAGTTTACAAAGGATCACACGTGTACGGTGAAGGCAGAATTAATAGTTGTTTTAATAAACGCGTACCAGTAAATGATGTAAAAGGTATTGAACAATGATGTATCAGTCAGAAGACAGGGGAAGAAATATATGCAGATCTTGGAAAGTTTGGTTTCTCTTATGGTAAAGCTATGTCGATACTTCAGGGCTCGATAAGAAATGACAAAGAAGCCTTGGTTGAAGTGAATATTAACGACATTTTATGGGACGAAACGAAAGGAATGGTTCTACATCCTGCAGTTATCGGTGGTTTACTTCAGGCACCCGGCGCACTCGGACTTTCTGATTTAGGAGTAAATATCTTACCCATTCAAATCAGAAAGTTGAGAGTTTATGGTGGGGCACAAAAGAAGATGTATATTCACCTTCAGTCGATGCTTTCGTCCATTACATCAAGTAAACAGTATACGTTATTGCTTTTTTCGACATCGGGTGAACCAATTGCTAGCATTGAAACATTCACTATCAAAGTCATAGGAAAAGAAGAAAGTTACCAACAGCAAATGTATTTTGAGCCATATTGGTCTTTAATATCGCTCTTACCACACCATGCTGAACTCCTATCAGAAAGTTTGTGTCGGTATCAGTTAAACCAAGACCAAGTCGAGATGAAGAGGTTAATGTTGTTGTTCCATTGACTGACAATAATAAAGATATAGAGAAGTTAAGAGAAACACTAAATGAATATAGATATGTTGCCATAATTATCAATAGTGATTTTGATGAGAATTATGGTGGAATTGAAAGACAGAGAGCTGTTTCTGATTATTTATTATGGTTAAAAGTTGTAGTGGAATGTATTAACGAAGGTAATGAAAAACATGATATATCTCGACTTTTAATTGCTTTCTATAATACATGGACTATAGATGAAATGAACACCAAATCTACAATCATGATACCAGATAATATTATACATTCATCTTTATGGGGAGGAGCACGATCTATTCAAAGAGAATTAGGAACATTAGCTACCCATTTGTTAGATCTCCGTGAATTGGAAGAAACAACAGATATTGAACAGTTGTTGATAGTCTTTGACAAACTGGCTTCTGACTGGCTACATAATGGTGAGTTGATCTTCACTTCTGTAGGTGTCTTTGGTTACCAGATACATTATATATGGGGGAACTGGGAAGCAAAATGTTATCAATTACTGATACTGGTGATTCAGATTTTGATCTGTTCTCTACATCAGAAACAGAAGTAAAAGATGTTTTTAAATTGTACACAAGAAATACATCACTACATGAACAACCAGGTTCAGTTTTATTAAATGTCACCAAGTTGGTATACCCAAATTTCTGTTTGTTTCTGCCAGTTGTTATTGCTGATGAAGATGAAGCTAACGTTGATGAATGACCTGTATACTGTATAGAAACTATTGGATATCTATCTATCAAACCAAATATCTTGCTAGTATCATGTTTTCCAGTACCAGCATCTAATAAGGTAGTGGTTCCAATATCTTGTTGTATGCCTCTATCATCAATACCATTCTACAAACCAGGTTTACTTTCAACACTTGTCAGTCTTTGGACATTGGCTTCTAGTGTAAAAGTTAAAAAGATAATAGTTTTACGAGAAAGAAGTTGTGTTGACGAGGAATTATTTCTATCCTTACTACGATACGGAAAAGTGGAATATAAACTACTTACTCCAGAAGAATTGTCAGAAGAAACACAACAGTGGAAAAAGAAACAAATGATTTGTTTTATGCAGCTAGACAAATCACATGTAGATATCATTATGAGAAAAAATTTCATCATAAAGATTTATGCCTTTTCAAGTCTCTTACCGACTACCATTGCAGCAATCTTAAGAACTCGACTTTCCAGGATTAGGATACATAGAGTGAACGAAAACGATATCTTCTCCAAAAGTAATATCAGTGCTGCAATTCGTCATGGTATCTACGGATGGCTTAACAAAAACTTTCAAAATACTATAAACCAGAGAAATGTTTTCCCAAATTTACAAGACCCAATACAAAAATTATTCACCATGACCCATCTTGATCTTCAAGACAAAATTGGATTGGAAGTTTCTCTTCATTTAACACTTAGTAGATTATTAAGTAAAACCAGTGTTGTTGGTGGTCTAACTGGTTTAGGTTGGCAATGTGTTCAGTGGTTGGCCACACATCAAGCTGGTTATGTCTTAATTTTTAATAGAAGAACTCCAAATGAAGAGAACACTGCTTCAATTGAAGAATTTTCCAGATCAACATCTTGTACCATAGAATGTTATTCAGTAGATGTAGTGAATCTTAGTTCTGTTACTGGAGCTATACGTACATTCAACAAAACCTATTCCGATGTTCGCATAAAAGGTGTACTTCATGGTGCTGGTGTAACACGAGACTCATCTCTATTTAAAATGACTGAAGAACATATGACAGAATGTTTCAACCCAAAGATTTCCGGAGCATGGAATTTACACCAGGCTACCATGTATATGAATCTTGATTTCTTTATACTACATTCATCCATCACAGCTGTCCTTGGTGCACCTGGACAAAGTAATTATGGTGTTGGGAATGCTTTTCAGGACAGTTTAATATCTGTAAGAAAAAAATTATCCCTACCTATACAGACGTTGAACTGGGGACCATTGGATATGGGAATGTTAGAAAAGGGAAAGGGAAATGATAGAACAAGAATGACTATATCCAGTACTGGTTACCATTTGATTGGAAATAGACGAAATAGATGTTTGTCTTGAAACTGCTATTTTATCTAATAAAAAACAAATTATGATTACTAAGTTTGATATGGAAAAACTGAGAGATGTTATTGACACCATTTCCAATAGACACTCTGAAAGATGCTGATGGAGAAGAAAGACCAAGAATCATAGAAGCTTATGTCTTAAAACTGATTAGAAAAAATTTATTTCTGGCAGACCTTATGATTACTCCTACAACAAGTCTGATAGATGCTGGTATGGACTCGATGTTAGCAATGACATTGGTAAACCAGGTGAAAAAAGATATCGCAGTCAAAATACCACTTAATTCAGCTTAGATTTATCGGAAAGGAATATGGTGGCAGCAATATCCACGTGGCAATTGTTGAAAACCAAGATGATGTTTTTGATGAAAGCAGAATTTCATTTCCAGAATTAAGATATCTACAATTAGATAACTTACCGACATATAAAGACAGATAGATTTATATTTTGGCAATCTTCGTTTGGACAAGGACATGCTCATTAATATAATCAAAACAGTGGTTATACGTAATCCTATCTGTACTGCGGTATATAATTGGCACGGAGACTCACCAAAAGAAAGGGCAAATGTAAAAAAAATCTTTCTTAGATGTAGAGAGTGCTGTAGACATTTGTGAAGTTAAAGCGGACGAACCTAATATTGAAAAGATCTTTAGTAGAAGACAATTTGATAAATTTGATACCAGGTCCAAAGGAACAGTCAGATTTACATTCGTCCTGGATAAGAACAGTACGACATTAGCCATAGCACTTAGTCACGTGGGGTTTGACTTAATGGGTGTTAATTTGTTTATAAGGGATTTCGTGAATTGTCTAAGACATACTTATCAGAATTTATCTCTACAAAGTCTTCATAAGCCTGTTGAGCATCAGAAACCAGTATGTCGTATACTAGACGAGATTTTTGCCCAGCAGTCAAAAGTCCTTATCGAATTTTGGTCACAACAGATCAACAAAAGTGTTCCAAGAGTCACACTAGATATAAACAGAGACTTCTGTACTACGAAAGAGCATGCTGTCGTATGCGAAAAAACTTTTGCCACTAGAAACCGAGCAGTTGTGTGACTCGCTCGCCAAATCCATTGGCACAAGTACATTCAGACTATACTTGACAATTTATCAGCTTTTACTGGGTATACGATCTAAATCTCAAAGAGTTTTCGTCGTTTCCACAGTAGATCTACGACAGTACTCTGTTCAGCTATTGGATAGAACAGAATGCATTTCAAACAACATACCAATATTTGCCGACATACCAGAATCAACTACAACCTTCAAGCAATTTTTAAAAGCAAACTATGAGGACATAAGTAAAACAATCGAACACGGCATGTTTCCATACACAGAAATGATCAAACTTTTCCCAGAAGGTATATATATAAAGATATACACAGACATGGAATACTTCTTAACGATGTCACTTTTGTTAGTGAATTAAATCGGGTGGCAAAGGACTTGAAACTTGAGGTTGAAAATCCGTACAAGACAAGAGGCAGTTTTGAAAGTATTGGTAGATAGGATAGCCAATACAACTACATTTAGATTGATGTTGGGAGGTGACCTCTATGATCAAGATGATGCTGACGAGTTTGCTTCAGATTTTATGACGATGTTACTTACAGTATCTTCAAATCCTAACACAACTATACAACAACTTCAAGTAAAATTCAAACCCAATATCGCAGGTAACGTACCGTTTTTTTTATTAGAATGGTATCTGCTACAATGTTTGCTTATCTTTATATTTTCATATATTAAAACTTTAAGCCGGTACCAACCATCAAATTTCAGATAAAATTATTACCATCATAGACCCACAGCAGTGTTTCTCAACTTCAGTGAGATCATGTCTTCCAGAAAGAGTTCTTCCAAGTATATTCCTCCCCAAAATAAGTCAGTAATTTTGAAACGTATTTCACTGGAAAACGATTAACAATGGATGGATATAAAATCATACTCGCACATATCGAGAATGTTAAATGTGACCCTTGGGCCAAATGTATCCTCACGATTTTCTATAAGTCCGGGATAAATAACGTCAATTTCAGTCGAAAATTACGTGCCTTCCATTTCCTCCCCATTTCCCCACTGTCAATAATAAGGAGGACCATGGGGAGGAATTCCTCTCCTGTTGAGAAGAACTGTAGTATAGTAGTCTTGTCTGGGCCTTTTCCAGTGGCGTAATTAGAGGAAGAGCATGATGTGATGCCCCCACCCCAACCACTGCCTTACATTCAATGATAGGTAAATTTGTTTTTGATAGAGTCTTTGGATTTGGTAAGTTGTACATACACGTTTTCAGTCTTACTATTGGAATCTATATTTTTTGAATAGGTTTGTTTAAGGAGAAGAGCTATATTGGTTTTATCGATGTAGATGTTTCTGTAGATAGAAATGCAAAGAATATTCAGATAGGAAAAATATCAATCAACTTTAAAGATGTTAAAAGCGTTCATACCGAAAAAGGTCAGATTCTCATTCTTTAAAAACCTGGTGCAATTTGGAGGTAAGGACTGCTTATGTTTCTTTCTTATATCTTTTTCTGTCTCTGACCTTTCATCACCTTAGAGTTTCTAATTTTAACCTAAACTATATTGGTCTGACTACCTTGGTTGTCATTCTATTCTAGTTTTTTAAACTGTAAGGTAGTCGATATTTAGGATAATTATTATATATTGAATCTCCTTGAATTTGTGGATTTAGTGTTTTGCCAGATATATTCTTTCAATATATTCTGCATATTTGAATTCTCTTGTACTCCCTACTGGTAAGGTGTTTCACCTCACCCCTTGGATTAAGTTTAGTTAAAACTCCTTTATAGGGGTTAATGTTAATAAACATCTGTTTATCGGACCCTTGGTTTGGGTACTTTCATATCCGATCACCTCCCTCGACAACATTAAGATCCATAATACACTGATTTACAATCATTTTCAACGTTGCCCACTTCTCTCTTCTATCCACCAAAATGTCAGGATTTGTCAAGATTCTAAGTGTCGAAAACAGTAACACGATTATATCAAATTATAATGGGGGCCGACTCTTAAAATAACGTTTCTTCGGCCGTTCTTTTTAATGTTTATCAGGTGAAAGCAGATATCATAAATATAGGTAATTAGGTCACAGGAAATCCGATCACCGGAAATTCGGTCACAGGAAATTCGGTCACAGTAAAAAGGTCGCACGGTGATATGGTCACAGTAATACGTTCACACGGTAATTTAGTAACAGTAAAATGGTCAAGCGGTAATTTGGTGACAGTAATACGGTCAGAGGGTGATCTTTATTTCTTTTAAGTAATCATATTTTATTTATAGCACGTCAATGATAACAGGACTGGTCACAGTCATACGGTCGCAAGGCAAAACTGGTTCAAATATAGCACCAGTAACCGGTGTAATGATAGCACAGGTAACTAGTGTTGGTTATAGCAGTGGTAACTAGTGTAATGATATCAGTAGTTACTGGTGGGTCCTGTTTTCCAAAGATCTTTTTCATAATACCTGGTACAGAAGATTAGTGTTCTGTTTGCCCTTTGAGACAGTCAAAGTTTGTGTGGCCCCCGAGAAGTGTTAAGTATTCAGGAGGGATTCCCTAGGAGATAGCCCGAATGTTATTGGTGTTTCGTTTACTACGAACCGATGGCTAAAGCGTATCGGAGCGTTTTTTTCCAATTTCGATTTATTACGCGTTATGTTCCCAAGTCCAGCAATAAGTCCAGGGAAGTCGAAGAAGCGACTGGGTGGTATAGTTGGACATAGCACTTAGTCCTCTATCGGAACCACGTGGCATAATGCCCACGTGACTCACAACGTGGACGCCAAGTGACGAAGGTGTTTGTGAAAGAACACCCGTGTGGACGAAGAGACAAACACAACTATACGACTTTTAAGGTCATCGAGGGTCAAGGTCAATGTCACAAACCCACTGAAGTTGCGACAGTGACCATACTCCACTATTTACTGAATCTAGCTGTATATCAACTATTTTACTGTGATCAAATTACCGTGTGACCTTTTTACTGCGACCAAATTTCGGTGACCGAATTTCCTGCGACCCGCGTCCCGACATGATAAGAAGTTTCTCGTCGAAAATCACATTAATGAAATTAAGATCTGCTGTTATAAGTTTGAGTATGTTCAATCACTTTCATAATAACTATTTAATATGAATTATGTCACCATGTATTATTAGATAGACAGTCTCCACAATGATTTTGACTTTTATATACTAAATAATGAAAATTAAATATTGATCATTATAAAACAATTTACTTACATTTGCAATATTTCAGGTAAAGGCAGAAAAACGTTAGTAATACAATCAGCATCAAAAACCTATCGAATTACTTACCAAACTGATGATAAAACTGTTTTACCACTGGTGAATTACATTCTACGAGTTAATGGTGGTCGAAAAGATTATTAAATTCAATTAAATTATACTTTGTGTTCAATTACACAAGAAACGATCGTGTTCTATCAAGGAAAAACCTACTGGTGTAGAATCAAAGAATATACAGTTTCAGTATTCCAACAACTCAACGTCTTTATAGTAACCCCATATCCTCATCTTTAACACGAACATATTACCAAGGTGTTTTGTACGGTGGTTTGTTTAACATATGTGTAATTCTTTTTATTTTATTTAAACTTTATGAAGACGAAGAAGTTTAATGTAATGTACAGTGGAATAGGCTAACTTATATTGGTGCATATAAGGATTGAACACCGAATCTCGTCAAAATAAAAAAAAACAGAAAAATTTTGTATATGTCTTAGATGTTTCCTTAGATATTCTTTAAAATAATTAAAATTGGTTTGTTCGATTTTCTTTATGAATCCCTCACTTTGACCCATATTTCATTAGTAATCAACGCGTCAAAGGCTGCAAAATTCGTAACCTATATTCGTGTACGATGTAAGATCTATTATATAAGTCGAAACAAAAACACATGAAAAGGGCTGTTTTTTATTGGACTTGGGCGATCAGACTTGGTTTAATCAAAGTAGGACCGACGACACGTGCAGATTTCTTTCGGTTTTTTCGCACAGACCCTTCTATGTTTGGAAATACTCCTGAAGGTAGGGCGAACTATGGCCATACACCATAGACATTGAAACCAGTCATCCTCTAGGTGATGGTAATAGGCCATAGGCCTTGACTTATGACAAATGTCACATTCCTTAAAATCTGACTTGTCCATGGCGAATATGATTTTCCTTTTACTAAAAGGCCATAGATCACGTGTTAGATCACGTGACTATTTCCGATCATTTGATTGGCTACAGCGCCACCTAGTCAAATCAATATAATGCACATACACTAGAAAAATTAGTCATGGATAGATACTTGTTTTTCGAGGATCGTTTAGAGACGTTTGTAGATTGGCCTAAATCTAAACCTACACCAATCTCTTTGTTGAACGATAAAAAGACGTGGATTGTTTATGCGAATGTATTGGTAATTTGATTCGGGGCACCTTACCACTATCAGCTGCAGAAACAAGACGTTTACGATCAAAGTCAACCTTAATTAGACGTCTGGGCACTCCCAAAACACCTTGGAAAACCCGTAAGAGATTACTTCAACAACACGGTAAAGGATTGTGGAAACCTGTCTTTCATCCTTTGCTCAACAAATTAAAACAGCGATGAAGTTTACACGAAAAATGAGATTGGTCCCAGCAGATGAACCTGAGAAGATTGTGACGGTTAAACCTTACGAACCCGTGTACGATCAAAATCCAGTTAAAGAAGCTTTAGAAGAATTAAGTCAAGAAATGCAACGTTTACTCAAGTCCAATACTTCAGACGATATTAAAATGGATCAATATGGTTAAATGTTGCAGCGATATCGAATACTACAAAATAAAAGACATGCACGAACCATACCCGAGACAACAAACAACAAACCTGACGACATCGCTTCCGTGGAAAAACCTGATATTTTATCTTCGGTACCTAAAACATACCAAGGCCGAGCTCGTATGTTATTAGAGCATTTGGAAAAGAAAACACCCTACTCTTGGAATGACAAGTACGAATTGACCCATGGCGGTGAGGTAATGAAAGACACGAACGTAGTGGATATCGTCAATGATTTCATTCGTAACCGCAAGACAAATATTACCCCTTTTGGTTGGGAAGCCGTCATGAGAAGTTTGAGAGAATCAAATATACCTCGAGAAGCCATTGGAAACGATCGTCGATGGGAATTGTTTTCGACACCTCAAACACAATCATCTCCGCCCACTTTTGAAACGCCCAAGAAACGCACAAGTAAAAAGCAACAGAGGAAAGAAAGAAAATGGCTATCTTTTGACAGCCTATAAAAGAAGCTCACAAACATTAACGGGTCAAAGATGAAGAAGCTAGCACAAGTCTATTATGATCCGGCGCATCCCGCAGGATTTAGTGGCGCTCAGAAACTGGCCAAGGCTACTGGAGTGCCATTAGAGAAAGTCAAAACCTGGTTAGCGGGTCAACAGACTTATACTTTACACAAACCTCTCAAGAAAAAATTCAAACGAACACCTACGTTAGTAGCAGGTATCGATCACCAGTGGCAAGCCGATTTGAGTGATTTGAGTAGCCTCGCCAAGAAAAACAATGGTTATCGCTTTTTGTTGTGTGTGATTGATGTGTTTTCCAAATATGCTTGGGTCATACCCATCAAAGACAAGAAAGGTGAAACGTTGGTTCGGGCTTTCCAAACAATTAAGGACAAAACACCTTTAAGATTGCAAACAGATAAAGGTACAGAATTTTTAAACAGAAAATTTCAAACTTATCTCAAGAAGAAAAAAATTCACTTTTTCGTGACACACAATGCCGAAACCAAAGCCAGTGTGGTGGAGAGATTTCAACGTACCTTAAAGCAACGAATGTGGCGATATTTCACGTACAAGAAAACGGAACGTTACATTGATGTTTTGGACAAGTTGGTAGAAGGTTACAATGCAGCCGTGCATCGCACTATTGGAATGGCACCTAAAGATGTCACTGTTCAAAACGAATGGTTGGTTAGTCAACGATTGCCTCGGGAAACATCCAAGAAAAAACGCGACATTACATCAATGGTACGGTTAGCCCTCGACAAACAGAAAGCTTTTGATAGGGGATACTGGCCAAATTGGACTTTGGAAACTTTTCAAGTCAAACCCAGTGTAGGATCCCGTTATAAATTAATTGATGGTGAAATGTTGGAAGGATCGTTTTATCCCGAAGAATTGCAAGAAGTGAAAGAAGACAAAGACGAGGCTTACGTGATTGAAAAAATCATAGAACGACGAGGTAAAAACGTACTCGTCAAATGGAAAGATTACCCTGCTAGTTTCAATTCCTGGATTCCTGAATCGACCGTGGAGTATAAATAGAAGTAACCAACTACAGGCGAGATACATCATGCAAGACGAATCCACATCGACAACATCGATTCGATCCAGATCCTGGGCGTGTTTAGGAAGTCGCGTGCCTCAGGCTGAAATTGTATTTTTCTGTCAAGTGATATTGGTCTACATTGTCGCGGGTATTGCGTTGTCGCAACTCGCTCTGAAACCCGAAGGACCTCAAACCACGTTGTGGACGGCTTTGTTATCCAGTAGTTTGGGTTATTTACTGCCATCACCCCAACTGAAGAAAAATGAACGATTTTTATCTCACCCTGCCTAGTGACAGTTCCATTGGAATGTTTCCGGACAACAGCCTTTCGACGTATCGCACTCATTTAACTCCCCCCATTCATTTTAATCACCAAGAATGGGAAGTAGGTCTGGCAGCCTTGGCCTTCCCAACAGATTGGTACAACCTTACGGAGAAAGACAACAAACTCAGACTGAAAGTTTTTTCATGGAAAATTGTTCCAGGAATGGAAACCATCAAGTGTGTGAGTGACAAATGGTTGGAACCTCCCGAGTGCACCACTGTTCCTAACAATGATGAAGGTTCGACTGAAGTGGAAACGCATATGGAAACCAACACTTACAGAAATGTGGAACAGTTGCTAAATGTATTGAACGTGACCATGCATGGATTATGGAAATGCAATGAAATACAAGAAATCATTCATCGAAAACCATTTCGATTGGATCCCAACATCAAAGAATTGACACCCCTGGAAAAAAACGAACAAGAAGAGTACGAAAATCGTATGAAATTATCCAATCAAGCCGAAAAACAACCCTATGCAACCTTTAAATTGGATTCATTAAACCAAAGAATATATTTATCTTTCGACTCTTCAGATGCCATCAACTTTCTACGTATGTTACCCGCAATCAGTTTCCAAATTGAAGGACCCATGGTTGGTATGTTAGGATGGCCTGACTTTTCGCAAGAATTTCAGTTGGATAAATTATGTCGACGAAACATCCGCGATGCCAAAATTACTGCTCCCTTTCAGCCTGCTGTGGATATGGCCTTTGATATGTTTTACTTGTATTCGGATATTGTGGAACCACAGCGTGTTGGTGATGCGGTGACTCCGATCTTGGATGTGTTTCACAGTAAATCAGGATACTTTCGTCCATCAGCCATACATTACGTTCCGATCAAGTACGACCGCCTGACGGCCATCGGCATGTATATAAGGACCGGACAAGGAAGGCCCGTACCATTTGTGCGAGGAAAAGTGGTGGCCAAGCTTCACTTTAGAAAGAGAAAATGACATTGTTGGGAAGAGGTAACATTCGAGTGTATCGTGGAGGTGTACTCAGACAACGAGGGTCCGGATTTTTGTCCGGTTTAATGAACATGGTCAAAAAAGGGGCTGTGATGGCAGGCAAATCTTTATGGAGTGCGGGTAAACAGGCTATAAATGATAATCTCCCACAAGTTGGAAAAGAGGTGTTGAAAGTTGTCCAAGGCAAAGAAACCGTCAAGGGTGGATTGAAAAACATTGTTCAAGATGCCGTCAAACCTGCTTTGAAATCCACGGTGTCGGAAACTTTGAAGAATGTTTTCGGAGGTATAAAAGACCGACAACCACCACGAAAGCGGACAAAGTCATCTGCAGCTCGTTCTGTCAACATCAAACGAAAGAGAAGAAAGAAAGATATCTTCGATCATGACTTCAATGATGCGTAATGATTCCTGTCTCTGTGCTCCTGATGAATTACAACAACTGTTTACCGTTCCTGACACTCAAACAGCCGTTACCAAAGTAACCAAAGTTCGCAAATATCCACTGACCAGCGATTTGAACCATGATGGTCCCTTGGAATTTTTTATTCCTAATTCAAGTACAGATTTCATCGACTTGGCCAACATTAGTTTGTACCTGAAGTTGAAAGTAGTCAAAGAAGATGGGACGAATGTCGGTGCGAATAAAAAAGTCGGACCCGTCAACAATTTCTTTCACTCTTTGTTGAAAGATGTGAAAATGCGCCTAGGAAAAGATTCCGACACGTTGGTGACTGCGTCCTTACCCAATTATCCCTACAGAGCTTACTTGGAAAATTTGCTGAGTTTTGGTCGTGGGGCCAAAAACAACCAACTCAATCAACAAGTCATGTGGGAGAAAGACACGGCAGACCAATTAGATAGTACACAAGCCGTTCAAACGGGAGCTGGTGATGCCATCGTACCCGTTGTTAACCATGGTTTGGGAGAAAGAAGAAAAAAGATGGGTGAAAGTTCAGAGTTTGAATTGCAGTCCCGACTACATGTGGATTTGTGTTTACAAGATCGTTATTTAATAGATGGTGTGGATGTTCGCATCCAGTTGGAAAGACAACAACCAAAATTTTATTTGATGTGGAACGAAAACAATGAAACGTACAAAGTGGAATTGATCAAAGCCTATTTGGAAGTACCTTTTGTTACGTTGGCACCATCAACCTACACGCGCATTGCTGAACAACTACAATCGAACAACGCCAAATATCCACTCAAGCGAGTAGTCGTCAAAGACATCAGCATACCAAGTCGTCGACGTTTTCACGTTTTGGATAATTTATTCATCAACGAAGTCTTGCCTAAACGTCTCATTTTGGGTTTGGTGGAGAACGATTCTTACGACGGCAATTCCATCAAGAATCCATTCAAGTTCCATCATCATCGACTAGAATACATCAAACTGATGAAAAATGGCGATGTGGTGGAAGAATATTTCATGGATTTTCCTAACAAACAAGCCACAACACCGTATTTAGATTTGATGAAAAGAGTAGGAATACTCAACAGCAAAGAAGATTTGGATATGTCTTACAACGACTATATTAAAGGCTACACTCTTTTTGGTTTTGATTTAACCAATGACCACGGAGCAGATCAAGTCAATTTTCACCCCAAGTCGTCTGGAAGTTTGTCTTTGGAATTGAGATTCGAAAACGCTCCACCGAATCCACTTAATTTGCTATTGTTTGCTGAATACGACAATGTCTTGGAAATCGACGTCAACCGCCAAATTTTGGTGGATTGGTAAACCTTTGTATACTGCACAGTTGGAGGAAGGATTGAGTTGTCATATCCCTGAACAATTTGGCGGTGTCCTGGCTAGAAATCAATTACAAACGTTAAAACCAAACCGCTATCCCATGGCATACGTCGTTAACACCGATGACGAAGACCAGCCTGGAAAACATTGGACCGTGTTTGTGTGCGAAGAAAACCATTGTGATTTCTTTGATTCGTATGGATGTCCCCCAGAACTGTATGGAAAAGATTTTGCCGACTTTGCTCAACGTCAAGGACCGGTACGACACAACTCCCAATGGATTCAAGGACTCCAAAGTGTTGTGTGTGGTCATTATTGCCTGTTTTACCTGTGTCATAGATTCCACGTACCCACACCAAAAGTCTTGTCGGTGTTTAAATCGAATCTGACTGAAAATCATCGTTTAGTACATGCTTGGACCCATGACCATTTTCCCTGTTTAAGATTTGAGGATGGCCAAACTTGTCGAAGATTTATGGATGTAAATACGTTATAGTTATTGTTAAATTCTACGTTATAGTTATTGTTAAATTCTTTAGTTTATTATGTTATTATTGTTCATTGTTAATTGATTATAGTTGAATAAAGTTTTAAAAAAATACCACGTGATCTTTTTTATCCAATCCAAATCCCTTTCCCGTTGGCAGCCTATAAAATCGCAGCCATTTGTCTTTGGCCATTCATTTGCACCATGGCAGCCCAACCTATGATTGTTGTGCAACTTATGGAAGTAGATGACAGTCCTGTTAAAATATTTACCCGCAATGGTAAAACTGTCATCATCAAACCGATGACATCTACCTTTTGGAAGAGTCGGCGGTGAACGAGACGCCTCGAAGGCGGAGAATCACTCCCGAGCTGTTAGCCAGCATCCGTCAGAGGCTCCGTCACAGAGTTCGTCGAAGACTCTTCTAAAGGAGTGTTTAAAAAATAAAACAGCCCTTTTCAGGGCTACCTAATCAAAATAAAAGAGTTCCCTTTTCCTTGGGTTTTTCCCTTGAGATTTCCTCTTGGGATTTCCCCTTGGGATTTCCCATGACGTCATCGTCAAACTGGGATTCCCGTGGGGTTTCCCCAATGACGTCATCTCCCTAGCAACCAAAGTCACGCATGCGCATCCTAAAACCGGATATGACGTCATCCTTAGCAACCACTATGACGTCATCCGTTGCCTAGCAACCAAATTACCTGAACCTACGCCCTTACTACTCAACAACTATCTCTTCACCTCTCTTGGAGTTACCTCCAATGTGCAATTTATCGATACCCAGATTATGCCAGAGATCATCGTCGGCTAATTTCCTTATCGATGTATATCACGATTATCTATTATACTTATTTATATATTTACGAGCTATAGTGGTCAATTGTATGAATGAGGTGAATATGACGTCCAGGGCAATTGTATGAATGAATTAAATTTTCTTAAATGGCTATTTTTCAGGGGGGGGGGGGGGGAGGCAATACATAGATAGATAGTTAGATAGAAAGATAGATATTTATTGTATTGTTCGCCCTTTTTGGGCAGCATACATCATGATACAAGATAATACATAATAAGTGATACAAATATGACACACTGACATCAATTAATAGTTATACAAAAAATATAGTGTATACATAAACAAGTTTGAAAAAAGCAACATCATAACAAAATAATGCATCAACGAATATACACCATATGTGGAGATAAGTTTTAGAAACAAAATATTTATAAATTTATGCAACAGCCTGACGGACTATATCAAGCAAATTAATACTATCTTATTTTAAGTCTAAAAAGACTCTCACATGCTAAGTTAACATAAAAGAATAAAATATCAAAGGAATATAAGCAATATATATCAATAATTCTGTTGTAATTCGTTTACATATAATATTATAATACAGAAAACCTATTTATTTCTGGATTCTAGTGCGTAATAAATAAATTTAGAAACAGCTAGAGCCAAACTGTAATTTAGCGGATTAAAAAGAACATGAAATGACAAAGGAATATTTAAATGTGAAATGGTAGAAGTGATATATTTTTCTCTTAGGGTATTGTATTTAGGACATATCAGGAGGAAATGGTATTCATCTTCAACCAAGGATAAATCACATTGTTGGCATGTGCGTTTATCAACAGGAATTTGTCTGTACCGACCTCTCTCAATTTCTAATTGATGTGTACTTAGTCTCAATGAAGTCAATGCGGTTTTGTATTTGGGATTTTTGATATGCTTTAGATAATGAGTTGGATTAGAAATAAAGGGTTTGACAGAACCGTATGTTCTCAATTTATTGTGAGGGCTGTTGATTGAGTCATGATAAATTAAAGAATGAAAAGAATTTTGTAAAGAGAGCTTAATTTGTTTGGGTGAGAAATTTATGGGGTCAATATTAAAATTGTTAAGGAGGGTGAAGACAGCATTTGTCCAAGAAAATGTTGGTTGACTTGAAGCAAAGTTCAAATCCTCATTAAAAGCTGCATTTAATAAGGGGTTATTTTGAAGAGTGGAGTTATCAAGAAATCTTTTGAAATACATAATCATTCTGTGGTAAATATCTAATTGTAAGGGAAATATTGATAATTCTGATAGACATCCAATGTTTGACGCCTTTTTAGGTATACTTAGTATGGACTTAGCTGTACGTATAGCGATTGTATTGTGATCTAATTTGTCCCAATTGTTAAACATGATCTTTTTACTATGAACTAAATGCAGACCCCAAACATCAGATGCATACATTGCTATTTGTTTGACAATGCTGTTATATAGTTTTAAAAGAGTAGAGGTTGGAAGATGATCAGTGGTACTTATTTTTTGTCTTACACTAAACCAAGCTCGCGTAGCTTTTTTACTTAGCTCGGTTATAGCGCATTTAGAAGTCGAGTTGTTTGATATACAAAGGCCTAAATAAGTATAAGAGGAGACTGCATTGTTTTCTAACTGTTTATTGCAGGGCGTTCGTAAAACAAACGCCCTGCATTGTTTTCTAACTGTTTATTTGCAGGGCGTTCGTAAAAGAACGCCCTGCATTGTTTTCTAACTGTTTATTTTTTTTTTTTCTTCATCCCAGGAGCTTTGTTCTCGGAAACGGCAACGGGTACGGCAAAACGGATTTCACCATGTTTTCTAACCTGTGGAGAATTGTGGAATGAATGTAAAACGAAAATTTTCTGAGCAACATGAAGCGACGTTAGCAACAAACAGAAAATCGCCTCTAGAGGGCATGTTTATCAACCGATTTTGATCGGGTTTCTTTCATCGTATTTCTTGTAACAAAGGGCAAATGATAGCAGTTAAAAATTTTCGATTTTCGAAATTCGTTGCATACTTTTTTTTGCCAAAATTAATCGAAAAATACTATTTCGGTTGTTATTTGGTGGATTGACTTGAAACTTACATGGTGTAGACCGCCAGCAAAGTGGAATAAAAGCACACATTCAAATTTTTTTCATTACTTCCGGTTTCGATGTTAGTACTTCCGGTGGCGTCACTTCCGGTTGAATTGATTTATGTCAAAAGTAACATATGCATTATATTACCAGCCTTAATACAAACCTTTTAAACTAAAAAAAATTGTACCAGAAGTAACATGTTTGTCGCCATATTGGTTTGCCTCATTTTTGCCCAAATCGATTCCCAGAATTCATTTTTAATCCGATTTGCGTAACGTTTGTGTCAAACGATCTGTTTATTGTTTGTCTACAAATGATAGGAAGCATAATTTTGATTTTCGGTTTTGCCTTTTTTGTACGACCGGATTGTTTTTTTCAAAGTTTGAAGGCGTATATCTCATGACCTTGACCTTTGATGACCTTCATATTTACTGTGATGATAATTTACTATGAAAATTTACTATCCGATTTTCATCAAACTTGGTATGTATGTGTATAATCAAATTCTAAAGTTGATGGAATTATCGAATTTGCCAAGTGCGCATGCGCATTGCCAACTTTCTTATTTACTATCCGATTTTCATCAAACTTGGTATGTATGCGTATAATCAAATTCTAAATTTGATGGAATTATCGAATTTGCGTAGTGCGCATGCGCATTGCCAATTTTCTTATTTACTATCCGATTTTCATCAAACTTGGTATGTATGTGTATAATCAAATTCCAAATTTGATGGAATTATCGAATTTGAGTAGTGCGCATGCGCATTGCCAACTTTCTTATTTCTTATCCGATTTTCACCAAACTTGGTATGTATGTGTATAAACAAATTCTAAATTTAATGGAATTATCGAATTTGCGAAGTGCGCATGCGCATTGCCAACTTTCTTATTTATTATCCGATTTTCATCAAACTTGGTATTTATGTGTATAATTAAATTCTAAATTTGATGGAATTATCGAATTTGCGTAGTGCGCATGCGCATTGCAAACTTTCTTATTTATTATCCGATTTTCATCAAACTTGGTATGTATGTGTAGAATCATATTCTAAATTTGATGGAATTATCGAATTTGAGTAATGCGCATTGTCAACCTTCTTATTTCTTTTCCGATTTTTATAAAACTTGGTATGTATGTGTATAATCAAATTCTAAATTTGATGGAATCATCGAATTTGCCTAGTGCGCATGCGCATTGCCAACTTTCCTATTTACTATCCGATTTTCATCAAACTTGGTATGTATGTGTATAATCAAATTCTAAATTTGATGGAATTTTCTAATTTGCTTAATGCGGATGCGCATTGCCAACTTTCTTATTTACTATCCGATTTTCATCAAACTTGGTGTGTATGTGTATAATCAAATTCTAAATTTGATGGAATTATCGAATTTGAGTAGTGCGCATGCGCATTGTCAACTTTCTTATTTCTTTTCCGATTTTCATAAAACTTGGTATGTATGTGAATAATCCAATTCTAAATTTGATGGAAATAATGAATTTTTGTTGTGCGCATGCGCATTACCAACTTTCTTATTTCTTATTGGAATTTCACCAAACTTGGTATGTATGTGTATAATCCAATTCTAAATTTGATGG